ATCAACAAGAAAACAGTGGCTTTAAATGACATATTAGATCACATGGAATTAATTGATATCTTCAAAGTATATTACCACAAAGCAGCAGCAGAATATACATTCTTTCCAAGTGCACGTGGAACATTTTCTAGGATAGACTGCATGTTCATTCAAAAAATAAGTCTCAATAAATTTAAGATTACAATCATATCAAGCATCTTTTCTTTTCCTTTTTCTTTTTTTTAATGTCTTTATCGATTAAGGTATTACATATGTGTCCTTATTCCCACATTATCCTCCACCTTCCATTCATGCCCCCATCCCCCTGTTGTCTATGTTCATTCATTAGGCTTATATGCATGCATATAAGTCCTCTGGTTGATCTCTCCCCATTACCTCCACTGTCCCCTATCTTCCCTGAGGTTTGGCTTTCTGATTGATGTTTCTCTGTCTCTGGATCTATTTTTGTTCATTGGATTATGTTTTTCATTATATTCCACAAATGAGTCAGATCATGTGATATTTATCTTTCTCTGCCTGGCTTATTTCACTTAGCATAATGCTCTCCATCTCCATCCATGTTGTTGAAAATGGTTAAAAACTCATTCTTTTTTTTTTTTACCACAGCATAGTATTCCATTGTGTATATGTACCACAGGTTTTAATCCACTCATTTGCAGATGGGCACTTAGGCTTTTTCCAAATCTTAGCTATGGGGAATTGTGCTGCTATGAACATAGGGGAGCATATATCCTTTCTGATTCATGCTTCTAGTTTCTTGGGATATGTTCCTAGACATAGGATCGCTGAGTCAAATGGGAGTTCCATTTGTAGTTTTTTGAGGAAACTCCATGCTGTTCTCCACAGTGTGCACCAGTCTGCATTCCCACCACCACCAGTGCACAAGAATTCCTTTCTATCTGCTTCCTCGTCAGCACTTGTCATTTGTTGACTTGTTGATGATAGCCATTCTGACAGGTGTGAGATGGTACTGCATTGTTGTTTTGATTTGCATCTCTCTGATGATTAGTGACTTTGAGTAGGTTTTTGTATGTCTCTTGGCCTTCCTTCTGTCTTTTTTTGGCAATGTAGCAGGATACAAAGTTAATGCCAAGAAATCTATAGCATTTCTATACACCAATAATGAACTTACAGAAAGAGATACTAAAAAAGAAACACCATTTACCATCAGACCAAAAAAATTAAGATACCTAGGAATAAATTTAACTAAGGAGGTAAAAGACCTATACATGGAAAACTACACAACACTGAAAAAAAGAGATAGAGGAGGACATAAACAAATGGAAGAACATACCATGTTCGTGGATTGGTAGAATCAACATCATCAAAATGTCCATACTACCCAAAGCAACCTATAAATTCAATGTACTTCCCATTAAAATACCAACAGCATATTTCACAGGCCTAGAACAAACTTTCCAAAAATTCATCTGGAATTAAAAAAAAAATACCCTGAATAGCTACAGCAATCCTGAGAAAGAAGAACAAAGTAGGTGGGATCTCAATACCAGATTTCAAGCTGTATTACAAAGCCACTGTTCTCAAAACTGCCTGGTATTGGCACAAGAACAGACATATAGATCAATGGAATAGAATAGAGAACCCAGAAATCGACCCAAATCACTACGCTCAATTAATATTTGATAAAGGAGGCATGAACATACAATGGAGTCAAGACAGTGTCTTCAATAAATGGTGATGGAAAAATTGGATGTGCAAAAAAAAAGAACCTAGACCACCAATTTATACCATACACACACACACACACACACACACACACACACCAAAAAAAAAAAAAAACACAAAACAAAACCTCAAAAACGGATAAAGGACTTAAACATAATATGGGAAACCATAAAAATACTAGAGGAATCCATAGGCAGAAAAATCTCTGACATATGACGAAGCATTTCTTCGCTGATACTGCTCCTAGGGCAATGGAAACTAAAAAGAAAATAAACAAATGGGACTACATCAAAATAAAAAGCTTTTGCACAGAAAAAGAAACCACAAATAAAACAACAAGAAAGCCCACTGCATGGGAGAACATATTTGCCAATGATATCAACAATTAGGGTTTAATCTCCAACATTTATAGGGGACTCATGCAGCTTAACAAAAAGAAGATAAACAACCCAATTAAAAAATGGTCAACTGATCTAAATAGACACTTCTCAAAAGAAAACAGAAGGAAGGTCAAGCATCTTTTCTGACCACAATGGTGTGAAATTAGAAAGCAGTCACTGGAGAAAAAAAGAAAAAATACACAAAGACAGGGAGGCTAAATAACATGTTACTAAACAATGAACGTGCTAACAATGAGATCAAGGAATAAATCAAAAGGTATCTTGAAATAAATTAAAATGAGGACACAACCACCCAAAATCTATGAGGCTCAGTGAAATCAGTAATAAGAGGGAAATACAATACATAGCATTATAGGGCTACCTCAAAAAACAAGAAAATTTTCAAATAAGCAATCTAATTTTACACCTATTGGAATTAGAAGTAGAACAACAAACAAAACCCTACATGAGGAGAAGGAAATAATAAAGATCAGAGCAGAAGTTTTAAAAATAGAGTTTAAAAACCACAACAGAAAAATCAATGAAACCGAGAGTTTGCAAAGATAAATGCAATTGACAAACCTTTAACCGGACTCATCAAGAAAAAAAGAGAGAGGACCCAAATAAATAAAATCATAAATGAAAGAGAAAAACTAAAAACTGACACCAAAGAAATTCAAAAGATTGTAAGAAAATATTACAAACAACTGTATACCAACATATTAGACAACCTGGACAAAATGGATACATTTCTAGAAACACACAATCTTCCAAAATTGAATTGTTAAGAATCAGAAAATCTAAATATGGAGATAACAACTAATGAATTTGAAGCCATAATCAAAACACTCTGAACAAACAAAATTCTAGGATCTAATCACTTCACAGGAATTTTACCAAACATTCAGGCAAGAATTAACACCTATCCTTTTCCAACTTTTCCAAAAAATTCAAGAGGAAGAAGACTCTGAAGCTTATTATATAAGGATAGCATTATCTTAATTCTAAAACCAGAAAAGACACTAAAAGGAAAGAAGATTATAGGACAATGTACCTGATGGACATAGATGCTAAAATCTTCAAGAAAATATTAGCAAACCATATCCAGCAATACAATGAAAATCTTACACACTATGATTATTATTCTGAGAATGCAAGGTTGGTACAATATCTGCAAATCAATATATGATATATCAAATGAATAAAAATAAGGATAAAAATCATATTACCCTTAGCTTCAGAAAAAGTATTTGATAATATTCAGCACCCATTCCTACTTTTCTTAGAAAAGTAGGAATAGAGGGAACATATCCCAACAGAATAAAGGCCATATATGACAAACCCATAGCCAACTCAGTGGGCACAAACTAAATCAGTTCCTTAAGATAAGGAACAAGACAGGGATGTCCACTTTTACCACTCTTATTCAACATAGTATTAGAAGTCCTAGCCAGAACAATCAGAAAAGAAGAATAAATAAAAGGCATCCAAATTGTAAAGGCAGAAGTAAAACTGTCATTATTTGCAGGTGACTTGAGAATATATATATATATATATATATATATATATCCCTAAAGATCCAACCAAAAAACTATCAGTACTAATAAATGAATTCTATAAATTATGTATAATTTATATGTCCAGAAATCAGTTGCATTTTTATGCACCAATAATGAACTCTCAGAAAGAGAAATTAAGAAAACAGACCCAGTTACAATTGGATAAAAATACATTTAACCAGGGATGTAAAAGACCTGTATTCAGAAAATTATAAGACACCAAAGAAAGAAATTGAAGAAAACACAAATAAGTGGAAGCACATACTGTGTTCATGAATAGAATAAATCCACATCATAAATATGTCCATATTACCCAAAACAATCTATACATTCAGTGCAATTTCTATCAAGTTACCAATGGCATATTTCACAGAATTAGAACAAATGTTCCAAAAAGTTATATGGAAACACAGAAGATCCCAAATAGTCACATCAATCTTGAAGAAGCAGAAAAAAGTCGAGGAAGTCATGCTACCAGATATCAAATTATACTACAAGCCCATAGTAATCAAAAGAGAGTGGAACTGCCATAAAGTGAACATACAGATTTATGGATAGAATAGAGAGTCCAGAAATAAACCCATGACTTTATGGTCAATTAATCTTTGACAAAGAAGGCAAGAACATAAAATGGGGCAAAAATAGTTTAGTCAATAAATGGTGTTGGATAATTGGATAGATACATGCAAAAAATAAAATACAACTAGACTACCTTCTTACACTATACACAAGAAAATTCAAAATGGATTAAATACTTAAATTTAGATTCAAACTCATTAAAAAACATAGAAGGAAACACAAGCAGCAAAATCTCAGACATTTATTGTAGCAATATTTTTTATGATATATCTCCTCAGGCCAGGGAAACAAGAAAAATAAACAAACGGGACTACATAAAATTGAAATGTTTTTGCACAGCAAAGGAAACCATCAACAAAGTGAAAAAACTACCCACTGAATGAGGGAACATATTCAACAATGATACATCTAATAAGGGGTTAATAGCTAAAATTTATTAAGAACTAATAAACCTCAATACCAAAAACAAGCAATCCAATTAAAAAATGGGTAATGGACCTAAATAGACACTTCTCCAAAGAGGCTATACAGATGGTCAATAGACATGAAAATATGCTCAACATCACTAATAATCAGAGAAATGTAAATTAAAATCACAATTAGTATAGAGGCAAGAGCAATAAAAATTTGGAACTTAAGATGTTAACTAGAATTATTGTGATGACCATTTCATAATATATACAAATATTGAATAATTCTGTTGTACTCCTGAAAGTAATATAACATTGCATGCCAATTATAGTATAATAAAATTAGATATCACATCACACCTGCTATAATGGCTATCATAAATAAATCAACAAAGATGTAGAGAAAAGGGAACCCTTATGCACTGTTGGTTGGGATACAAATTGTTGCAGCCATTGTGGAAAGCAGTATGGAGTTTCCTCAAAAAATTAAAAATGGAACTGCCTTATGACCCAGTGATTCCACTTCTGGGAATATATCCAAAGAAATATGAAACACTAATTCAAAGATTGTATGCACTCCTACATTCATTGCAGTGTATTGTAATTTACAGTAGCCAAGATCTGGAAGCATCCCAAGTGAGCATCAGTAGATGAGTGGATAAAAAGCCAGTCAGTGAAAGACAAATATCATATGATCTCACTTTTATGAGGAATGTAATGAATAAAATAACTTATGAACAAAATAAAAACAGAGGCATGGATACAAGTAACAGACTGACAGCTGTCAGAGGGAAGGGGGGAAGGAGGCACTGGATGAAAGAAGGTGAAGGGATTAGCCAAGGAATATATATGCATAGCCCATAGACACAGACAATAGTGTGGTGATGGCCTTGGGGGGGTGAGGGGAGGGGAAAGGATGGGTAAAGGGGAGGTGTGCAAGAGGGGAGACATGGGTATATCTGTAATAGTGTAAACAGTTAAAAAAAAAAAAAGCCTGGTACATGTACACAGTGGAATACTACTTGGCTGTTAAAAAAAAGGAAATCTTACCCTTTTTCATAGTATGGATGGACCTGGAGAGCATTATACTAAGTGAAATAAGCCAGTCAGTGATAGTCAAGTGCCTTATGATTTCACTTATATGTGGAATCTATGAACAAAATAGAAACAGACTTATAGGTACAGAGAGCAAACTGATAACTGTCAGAGGGGAAGTGAGTGAGGGGCTGGGTGAAAAAAGTGAAGGGATTAAGTAAAGAAGAAAACAAAACAAAACAAAACAAAAAAAAAAAACACCTCATAGTCATAGTCAACAGCATGATGATTACCAGAGGGAAAGAACAGTAGGGGAGGGAAGGTAGAATATAGTAAAGGAGTGATAAATGGTGGTGGAAGGAGACTTGAATTGAGGTGATGAATACACAGTGCAATATGTAGATGATGTATTATAGAATTATATACCTGAAACCTATATAATTTTATTAACCAATGCCATCCCAGTAACTTCAATTGGGAAAAAGAGTATTAAGGTGAGTTCTATGGGCTCTCTGAGGTTTTGGAGCCCATCCAGAAAACTTCTTAAAATGCTAGTTCTCTTTTTACCCACCCCCCTTCCAAAATTCTGTTGAAGTGAGAGGGGTTGGGGGGGACAAGTACATAACAACTAAAGCCTAAAGCAAACTCTTTTACTCAAAAATCATCTCTAAGCAGTCCCAGATACACCCCTCCAATAATATTATCTTACTTTTGTCTGAAACTTTTAAGACAGTTTGGCATCTCCTGTCTTTAATCCTCACTAAACCTCTGAAAAATAGGTTTATTATTAACCTCATTCTGCAAATGGGTTCACTAAGGTTCATGGAGATTGAATGTCTTGTCAATAAGCACGCATAGCTGGCACTTGGACCTAATTCTACTAGACCCCAAATTTAATTTTTCACTATGACTTTGCTAATTTTATTATACTATAATTGGCATGCAATGTTATAATATATTACTTTCAGGAGTACAACAGAATTATTCAATATTTGTATATACAATATTATGAAATGGTCATCACAATAATTCTAGTTAACATCTTAAGTTCCAAATTTTTATTGCTCTTGCCTCTATACTATATAGATTTTCCAACACACTGGAATCAAGGGGCCAGTTTAAAGGCCAAAAATCAACTGTTGGGAATTTTTAAGTTTTAATAAATGAGTTTCTTGATAATCACAGGCCAGAACAGGCTTTTATGTGGAGAAATGAAAGCACAGAGAGGATGTGGTTTCTTGTACATTTTCACACGAGTCATTGATGAGACAGAAAATACAGACCAGCTCTTATGATCCTCAGGACTCTGTCAATACAAATGTTATTACTTCTTAGCTCAATTACTGGTGTGTGTTTTTGTGCACATTCTTACATGTATGCATGTTCATGTTTGTTAAGAACTGAGGGTGGGAGGGAAAAGGTTGAGAGAAAAGAGAAATCATAAGTAAAACAGACTACTTCTTAGGGGCCTGAGAAACAAATATTACTTAGTCCCTGAATTCAGACAAAGATCAGATATTTTGCATGGATCTGTTTAGGTTGTAGACAGCTTTCAGTTATGCACTTGTTTCTTATTTTACTTGGGGTTGCTAAGCAGGAGAAGATGGCAAGTGGCTATCTACCTCAACAACAACATAAACTGGCTGAGAGCAATCATTTGAGTAAATCTTCTTCTGAGCTACTTCTTCTGAGGCCCTGGTAAATACAAATTATAAGCCAACACACACACACACACACACACACACACACACACACACACATATCTCAGCAAGAAGCTTCAAACTTATCAGGGAATAATGTAAGAAAAGAAGTAATATGATGACTTATCATCAGAAAGAAATATCAAAAAATGATTTGTTATCAGCATAGTATAAGTGGGGATTGGAATGGGCAGTTGGACAAGTCCCCAGAGAGGCTGAGCTTCACATCTCTAAATGGGTCCTCCCCCAAGCTACTTCAGCTCCCCTTCTTTGGTCTCTTTATTTGTACCCATCCAATTACTCAACTTTTGTATGTTCTCTCTTCTTACCTAGTACAATCTACATCTTAGATTCCACTAAGGGAAGCATCTTAAAGTGCTATCAGTCCAATGAAGAAGATGGGATGGGATGGAGGTGGGGGGTGAACAGTATTATTAGATCCAAGCTCTGAGGCCAAGAGAAGAGACTCTGATGAAGGAATTGAAAATGCAAACCAGTTGGAAGAAGATATTTTTAGCTTTGAAATCACACCTAGCTGGCCATCAAATGTGGTGTTTCTGACTCATGTTACTAGAGCAATTCTTGTTTTCAGTGGATGAGGAGTGGAAATACTGAATCAGAATTTCTGAAGTGTGCTGGTGATATAGTCTTATTGGGGAAAGAATCCCCCAGTCCCTACTATGTAATGTCTAATACTTGTCCTCTGCTGTGGAGGTGGGGGACACAGAGATAGAAAGGATCTCACCTTCTCTCCCTTCCTTTTTTTGGGGGGGTCCTACTTTCTATCATTTCCTTCTTATTGCTTCTTCCTTTTCCCTGGAGTGCCTCTATTCTTCTGTCTTTGTATCTCCCTTTAAGTCTCTCTTTTTCAGGAGTCCCCTGCCACCTCAATAACCAAGTATGGGGTAGAAGACAGGAGGGGTAGGGGAGGGAGATGGTGAAATCTGTATGTGTGGCAGGGGGAGGGCTGATGCAGAAGGAGAGTTGGGGTCAGCATAGGAAGGTTTGAAGGTACTGCGGGAGTAAGAGGGACTAGCAGATGCCAGAACAGGGGAAAGGGTCTATGAAATCAGGAATAAGGGGGTCCTCAAGGTTGAGCATAGACTAAGTCCTTTCCCCAGACCCTGCCATCCCAGATGGCTAGTGGGAGGGGTCCATAGCGAGATGCTGAGCCCCCTACACTTTGTGTCTGAGGCTCCAGACATGTGGCCAATACAGCCCTGCTACTCCCGCTGAAGTGTTGCCATTTGGAACATATTTTCAGACACATGGATTGTTTTTAAGTTAATGTTTTTTAATTCACTCTGTTTCCCACTTGTCATTTTTTATTGAAAAGGCGGATTCTGCTGATTTGTGTTCCTTTACAGGGGAAGCAAGGGTGTTCTCCACGGGCAGAGATACGATGAGAAACAGACAAAAGGCCCAGTGAGACATGGGGAATGAACAAACAGGATCGGAGAGTAAGGAGCAGGGAGAGAGATGCACAGGGTGAGACAGACAGCCACAGAGAACCCAGGAAGGCTAAGGGATGGACTCAGCCCTAAGGGCAGAGAGAGTGTCCTAAATTATTTCTAAATAAATGCCACCTGTAGGATAGGAGCACTGGTGGCTGAGGTTCACACACAGATTTCACCCTCTCCCTCCCCTACCCCTCCTGTCTTCTACCCCATACTTCTTTCTGCCCTGCCCTGCTCCACTTCCATTCTTCCCTCCTGCCCCAGACCAATCAGCAGCCCTGGATCCGAGAGAAATGGTTAGAACAAAGCTTTCCTTGGGGGGAACGAGGAGACAGAGCATGGTCTAGGAATAGAGATGTCAATAATGAGAGAGAAAAATTGATCAGCTGCCTCCTGCACACTCCTACTGGGGATCAAGCCTGCAATCTGTGTGTATGCCTTGACCAGGAATCAAACCAGTGACCTCCTGGTGCATGAGTCAACCCTCAACCACTGAGCCACACAAGCTGGGTCCTGAGAGAGAGCATTAGTTAGTATTTCATAGGAGGAAGGGGGAATTATGGCCTTCCTCACAAGGCCCAAATAAGATTATAGCATATTTTAGCTCCTAGATACCATCTCAGATGAAAGACCATGCAATCATGTTGAAAAAAGAAATAACTAAGGAACTGACATAAAATTTAATTTGAAGGTTGAGGTGGAGAAACCAGCAACCACTGCTGTGCTTTTAGATGATATGTGATCTCCTCTAAAGGATATGAGGCTTAAAGGAGTCTCTCACAGGCTGCTGCCAAGGTTGAACTTCCAAGGTTTACATATCCTACTTAAGAGACGAAAAAGTGACTGACTTTTCAATATACATCCATACAATCATTTTTCAATATTTCTGCACATAAAATTTTAAAAATCAATGAGAAGTGACTCAAGACCTCTCATAACATTTTGTGCCTACTACATATTTATAGTTGACCTTTGAGTAGGTTTATCTAGCTGTGTATACATATGAATGTATTATTTTTCAACTAAGGATCCTAACCTGGGGTAAGAGCTTTATATGGGAAACTAAAAAAATTTTTTTGAAACTATGTATTTTTCTTGGTAAAGAAAAATCATTTATTAACTAAAGCAGATTCCTTAGCCTTCTTGAAAACTGCTGTCCTATAAAGTAAAATCTTGTTCAAGTTGAGTCTTAAATAAAAGTCCAAGATTTATTCTCACGCAC